TTATGTTATGTTATGTTATGTTATGTTATATTATGTTATGTCCTGTCCTGTCTAGTTCTATTTAGTTACATTATGTCCTGTCCTGTCCTTTTACGTTACGTTACGCTACGCCCTGTCCTGTCATGTCCTGTCTTGTCCTGTCCTGTCCTAATCTGTTATGTTACTTTCCAGAGACAACTGCGTGATAACCAGTTTCTGCTCCAGATCCTGATCGTGGTCTGGTTCAGGTATTACTACTCACCCTGGCAGGTCTTGCCGTCCTCAAGCAGCCTGTGTCCTTCATTACAGATACAGTGATAACCATTCAACACGCTCACACACTCCTGATCACAACTGTGGTTCCCAAACGAACAGTAGTCGATCACTGAGGGAGAGCAGAGCAGTGCCAAGTTGTGAGCAGCAGGGGGCGTTGTACCGAGTGAACCTGGGTGAGACTGAGTCCAACGTTCCTGCTCTGTAGTCATGACTGTGTTAAATCTGAACAGAGACCTTTTGAAGTGACGTGTGAGTGGATAAAGAACAGTTCGTCCAAGAGAGGACGCTTTGTTCAGTGCGATGAGGAGACAGACGGAGGAAATGCCTTTTCTTTACTTACTGACATCATGTGTCTGACATCAAGTCTGGTTTTATTGTCTAGGAATTTTATAATCTCAATTTACTTTTGGTCCTAATGTTTCATTCTTTGTTTGTTTATTGAACAGTAACTATATTTATTTTTTTAAATTAAACACTTTTGAATCACTCCCATCACTTCTAAAGAAAAAGGTCACAGAACAGGAACAGGACACATCTTTACACCCAGGTTCATGAAGCAGCAGAAAAATGAGATCAAGTTCATTTAAGCCTGAATCAGTGAGACATGATTCAGAATTAACAGTAGAATCAAACTAGCAGCTGTTTCAGACAGAAAAAAAAGAGCAGATGTTAAAACTAGCCCAGAGGCTAATCCTAACAAAGCCAAGCAGCTAAACCACGACTAAAAGAAAGCTAACAGCCAAAGTTAGCATTTCTTTAAGGTCAGCGGCTTAAAATTTTTTTTATAGACGACTAAACGTTACCATCAACTAGAACACAGCATGGCCTACGCAGAGCTACTACTTACCTATTAGCACTGCTAAGCTAGTAGCTTTCAAAAAACAAGTAAAATTCAACCAAAACTGTATCTAATAAACAAAGCTAAAGCTTGGCCAATAAAAATAAAAAGTTGAATGAAGACAACATCGTACCTTCATTTACAGCAAAATAGTTCCTGAGAATTTATACGTAGAATTCCATGACTAACCGTCGGCTAAGAGTTAGCTTTGCTGTACAACAAGGTATACTGTAACTTTCAGGTGTGTGAGAGAGAGAGTAGGATAGATAGATAGGTAGGTAGATAGGTAGGTAGGTAGGTAGATAGGTAGGTAGGTAGGTAGATAGGTAGGTAGGTAGGTAGATAGGTAGGTAGGTAG